AGCGTAAAAGCATCGTTAATGGAACGTTAAATGAATAACTGTTTTACAAAAAATTCAGTGAGAGAAAAATGTCTTAACGATTTTATTACAGTAATAATTTATGAATAATTATGAACTATCATTATGAAGGAGTTCTGAGTCCTGAAAGTGAGGGGTCTGGACCTTTCTGGTCGAGAAATCAGAACAAACTTTCAAGGATAATGTTTTCCCTTATACATTCCTTGGTTATCCTATGCGACAGTCATTTCAGGAAGGCCGAATTGAACAACGGCCAAAATATTCTGATAAAGACAACAAAATAAACTTGGATAATGGTACGAATGAATCGATGTAAATAAGGATTTACATTATTATTATTATTATTATTATTAGTGTTAGGACTTTCTATATCATCCTTTTTGCTGCTATATATTAACGACAAAAGACAACTGTGGTAATTAATGATTCTTTTCATAAGTTATTTTGAAAAATTAATTAAAATATCTAACGTGCAAGAATTTCATAAACCTGTCAAAATTACACAGAAACTAGCACACACACACATATACAAACACACACACACACACGTATATATATAGCTATTTTTTGCCGTCATTCTCAAAAAAAAAAAATTCCTTAAATAATATTTTGAAAAATAAAATCTTAAAAAAAATGTGACCTGGTAATATATTATATTTGATATGGAAAAATAATTTTATATACTGGAAGTAATTCTATTACATTTACTTGTTTCAAAAAGAAATATAGTCGATTAAAAATTAAAAGGAAAAATATTTTAAAATAGTAATTAAATAAAACGTATTCTAACCTAAACATCCCCCAAAAATCTTTAAGTATACAAATAGAAAAAAAGCCGTAAGAATTTTTGCCGTTAACAATAAAATTTAAAAAAAATAAAAATAGAGGACATGAATTTAACGGATGTCAGAATTCGTTGAAAAATACATCCCCACCTAAACTTAACCCCTTTTTCGAACGTAACAAATAACTGATACAACAAAAATTAATAAAACTGAACATGCTACCTCCCCCTTGTCTAGATGATTGGATTTCTCTGTATCCTTGGTAACCGTAAATTATGAATTTCCCTTGTAGTTAAAACTCAGTAAATTTAAAAAATAAGTTACTCCAAAATTCGCTAATGTTTTTAATTTAATTACAAAATTAAATTTAATATTTTTAGCTTCCATTTTTGAAGCATGGTTATTACTGTGTAGCGAAAAAACCATATTTTAAATCAGTTAATTTATATTAATGCTCTGTAAATTTACATTGAGCACTATTTTGTAAAAAAATATCAAAAAGAACACCGGATTACATATCTTAATGTTCTTTCTTTTTATTTAAACACACACACACACACACACACACACACACACACACACACACACACACACATATATATATATATATATATATATATATATATATATAGGAAAAGCCACAAAAAATAAGATTAAACATTGTTCACAATATATAAAAATTGAATGTTCTACCATTTGCTGTTGGTTTGGCTAAATTCAAAAACATTTGAGTGTGGCTCAGAAAAACTTTTGAGTGTGCACACACCTAAAAACAGATAAATACGAAACTTTGCAAGAAGACATACTTAACTAAAAAATACCAACTCCTCTCCAGAATCTTTCGTCAAACAAATCTCAATCATTAAAGAGATAAACGAAGTGGCTAAAGTTTAAAAGACACCGAACATATAAATTCTCAAAGTTCAAAAGCTTTTACCTCATTTTCTCTTACAAACATCAGTACTGACATTGGCTAAAACGTATAAACTTTCGCAATATCCGACAAATTTCAAATAAGTGTATTACTATAAAAAATTAAATCCTCAGAAAATTAATTTTCATATACTTCTTTTGTCAAAATGTAAATAAATTGCAAATTTAAATTTGTCAACAATTATGAGAAGTTTGTTTATTATATTAATTTTAAGTATTATTAACGCGTTGAAACATATTTCTATAGTTATTAAGATCATCAAGAGAAAAGCATGACAAGAAAGAACTTTTCTTTTTTTGTATTCACACGTTCTTTGTTAATCATTTATCGATTATCTACAACCGAGAGATCACGTAAAATAATTCTTCAAAAATTATACACATGCCTTTTAACGCTGTAGTTGTTTTGGGAGGTGGAAATGTGGTGGTTACTTTCCCTGCACATCGTGCCAAGTTAGCTGGATAACAGATTAGATATTCTTTATCGAACAATGATCCCATGGGGCAAATATATTCCATTTCTTCTCCAGCAACACATTGGAAATATTTAGAACAATTTGTTGGATCCGGACGGATCACCGCTCCAGTACACGTAGCTAAAAAAAAAAAAAGAAAAAAGATTTTTAATTGCTTTTTATAAAACAACATTGAATTAATACACTTCTTAATCTTAAACTTAATTTAATTCTTAAAGATTAATTAATTAATCGATAGGAACTGACATGGATAGAGAGATGGATAGGAACTGTGTCGTCAGGAATAGGACAATTATTAAAGATGGAATAGAAAATATTATATGCATAATTTCAATAAATTTTGTTATAGGAATGCAGAATAGATTGGGAACCAAGACGTTTCAGCGGTCAGGAAATCATGTTAGTATTATAGACAGAATAAAGTTATTTCATCTCCATTCCATATATCAAGAGATTCGTGATAAAATCTAAAGAAATATCTGCAACGTTATTGGTTTTCACCTGATATTTTTGCATTAGTCACTTATTACTACCGCCGTAATATAGCTTCCATGTGTCTTTTTCTATAACTATTTTCACGGTAATTGTTCTGATGAACTTTCATCCATGGTAACTAGAATTTATTAATTTAAGCGCAGTGATCATAATTTCACTGTTAAAGTTAGTAGATGCAACCATAAGTTCTATGCTAATTGTTTCTTCTCCCGTTCTTCTCGTTTGTGACACTCCCTTCTGGCTTCCTGTTTTCCTGTCTGCTACAAATGATCTTCAAAAATTTTAACACGGTGTCAATTATCTTCTGTATCTGAACCTTGTTCTTATATTGTCCTTTCTTTCACTTTCAGTAAACCCTTGCATCCAAATTGCTTCTATCACATTGCTTAAATTGAAATGATTAAAAGAAATATACACATTGCTAATGATTTTACAACAGAAATGTCTTAAAAATAAGGCAACAATTATTATTGGAAAGAAACTAAGGCAAATATAACAGATAAATTAGGAAATTTATATGTATGCTTTAAATGGAATGTTTAAAATTTTACTTCAGAACAATATTATAATATAAACGAGTTCGTAAACGTATCCAAAGACTAATCACGGAAATCAATGGTGACCAGGTCGCTTCCGGCCACCGAAACCAAACGTAAACAGACGCCTGATTAAATACTCTCAGGTTACCGGTGTGCCCAGCAGGTTAAATATCAGTACGTATGTTTCTCAATTGTTCCGGTCTGTCTCACACTCTCTAAAGGAACTCCTGTTTTGGGGACGGTAGTTTCTTAGTGGTTCATTCCTCAGAGGAATTTTTAAATTTTTCCGGGGAGCGTGGTATTTTGTTTCTCGCATGAACTCAAAGTCGGTCATCAAACGTCGAAGCTGAGTAGGAAGTTCTCTTCAAAACAAGAGACCACTTTGGAAAACTTAACAATAATTTATTGACCGGAAATATTAATCGAACATGCGTTTTCTACAGTTTGTAACAAAATATCGAAGTATTTTGAGGCCTTTGGTTTCGTTTTTCGCTTCCACAAATTATAGCAGTTTTTGTTTTTCCCTTCTCCGTACGGTTGATATAAAAGAGCTCCACCCCGCCTTCCCGGGCATACCCATCCAAGCTTGACATTGATGTATGTAAAAATTTCCAACTTTTCGTGTATTATTTCAATAGTTCCATTGCCCAAAAACCACATGACCCCGACGAAAAAAACTATTTCTCCATCAGCTTATGTGCATAGCATCGTAATATTAAGAATTTATCCTTCTCCGATAAGATTTCAGCTCGGAAATCCAAGTAAATAATTTTCCTTATCAGAGAAAGAAGACCACTTATGTGACATTCCAAAGTTTGTACCAAATTAATTCGGTGTTCAACTCTCTCTACTTCCCTCATCAACTTCGTTTTATATGTTTAATGTAACTTTAATTCTATTTTTCTTTTTCCATTTACCTCCTAATTACTTAAGATATCCATCTGGGAGTTTTCATATTGATTTCCAATTTTTATTCCACCCAAATCACCATTTTGCATTCTCAAAATTACAACTAAACATCGAACTGCAAATCAGAAAGAATGAAGTCAAGTGTTACAGCTTCATTTCGTTTGTGTCATTCCGTTTGTTTCATTCTTTTCAGAGATTAGATGTTGAAGCGTTGTGTTGCTTAACCGTGTAGTATGGATTCTTCAAGTTAAGTAAATAGTAAAACTCTTTCTCAATTTAATATAGTGAATATCAACAGGAAACGAAATACATGTTAGGCCAGGGCTTTTAATTTGTTTGAAATTTTAAAATGAAATATCCATTAGGTTATGTTCCATAGAGCACTTGGCATTCCGGAAGTGTTAATTTAATCCCTGGATGATATGATGCACAGTCAAGAAAATTAAAATTGCTTCAAAAAAAAAAAATTCATTTAAGAATTCTGAAGTTCCATCAGAAGGACACCAAGCGTTGACAGATAAAGGAATGATAAGAATAGTGCTTCATCGATCAAATAAAAACCTTCCATTCGACATTCCCAGAACTTTACACTATGCGACGAACAGTAAATATTATCATAAACACAAAACAAGAGATAAGGAAATTGATTTGAATGAATCAATATATAAAATGACTAACATTATTTTGCCGTATTTTTTCATCATTTTGGCAACCATTGAATCGTTAAATTACGGCAACTGATAACACGATGTTTATTAACATTATCCTCCGAAAAGCATGACAAGAAAGAACTTGATTTTCCTTATTTGTATTCACACGTTCTTTGTTAATCATTTATGGATTATCTACAACCGAGAGATCACGTAAAAATATTCTTCAAAAATTATACACATGCCTTTTAACGCTGTAGTTGTTTTGGGAGGTGGAACTGTGGTGGCTACTTTCTCTGCGCATTGAACCAAGTTGGCTGGATAACAGATTAGATATTCTTTATCGAACAATGATCCCATGGGGCAAGTATATTCCATTTCTTCTCCAGCGACGCATTGGAAATATTTGGAACAATTTGTTGGATTCGGGCGGCTCATAGCTTGAGTACACGGACCTAAAAAGTGAAAGGGGTATAAGTGGTTTTATAGAACATCGAGGACATATAGATATGTAGTCTAATATATATATATATATATATATATATATAATGTATGTACTATGTCTGTGTGTGTATGTCATGTACACTTTGAAAATCATCGATCAATCACCATAGGCTCTGTAGGTGAAATAGGAAACTATTTTTCTCGCCAAATAAACCCGTATGAACAAATTATGATATTTGTCAATATGAACCTATAGTCGATATATTCATGAAACAAAATATTAGACATAACTATTTATAACTATTAGACTAAGTATATGAGTATACTTGTTGATTGTTTGGGATATTCATTCCGATGTTTATCTATAATAATGAATTGTTAAAAGTAACATCAATTCCAAATTTAATCCATCAGAGTTGAATAATAAAAGCTCCCTACTAATATCCGTTTTATGTAATATTTAACAAGAATAAAATCCTGGCATGTTTCGTTTGAAGAAAATAAACTTTTAGTAAAATTACATCGGCTGGACATATTTATGTTTGATTGTGTATCTACTTGAGGGTTGACGAGTGATCGATTGCAATGAATTCTCATACCACTAAACATGTAGCGAGTTCGGTCTTCAGGAAAATACTCACGTAGAATACGCTTAGTATGGTGTAAATCCAAATGAAAGCTAGGAAGATTGTATGATCTTTTCAGTAAAGTTAGTTTTACGGTTTGCATGCATTGAAAGGTTAGCGTTCGAAAATCTACAATATACAATAAGTAAGGCACAAACCTGAAATCGTTGTAGTTGATTCTTGTTGGCTGCTCGATATTTCAGGTGTAGATGGTACAGATGTATGTTCCTCGGTTGCGGCAGTCAATCCTGAAATCGTTGTAGTGGATTCTGGTTGGCTGCTCGATATTTCTGGTGTAGATGGTACAGATGTATGTTCTTCGGTTGCGGCAGTCGATCCTGAAATCGTTGTAGTGGATTCTGGTTGGCTGCTCGATATTTCAGGTGTAGATGGTACAGATGTATGTTCTTCGGTTGCGGCAGTCGATCCTGAAATCGTTGTAGTTGATTCTGGTTGGCTGCTCGATATTTCAGGTGTAGATGGTACAGATGTATGTTCCTCGCTTACGGCAGTCGATCCTGAAATCTTTGTAGTGGATTCTGGTTGGCTGCTCGATATTTCTGGTGTAAATGGTACAGATGTATGTTCTTCGGTTGCGGCAGTCGATCCTGAAATCGTTGTAATTGATTCTGGTTGGCTGCTCGATATTTCAGGTGTAGATGGTACAGATGTATGTTCTTCGGTTGCGGCAGTCGATCCTGAAATCGTTGTAGTGGATTCTGGTTGGCTGCTCGATATTTCAGGTGTAGATGGTACAGATGTATGTTCTTCGGTTGCTGCAGTCGATCCTGAAATCGTTGTAGTTGATTCTGGTTGGCTGCTCGATATTTCAGGTGTAGATGGTACAGATGTATGTTCCTCGCTTACGGCAGTCGATCCTGAAATCTTTGTAGTGGATTCTGGTTGGCTGCTCGATATTTCAGGTGTAGATGGTACAGATGTATGTTCTTCGGTTGCGGCAGTCGATCCTGAAATCGTTGTAGTTGATTCTGGTTGGCTGCTCGATATTTCAGGTGTAAATGGTACAGATGTATGTTCTTCGGTTGCGGCAGTCGATCCTGAAATCGTTGTAGTTGATTCTGGTTGGCTGCTCGATATTTCTGGTTTAGATGGTACAGATGTATGTTCCTCGGTTGCGGCAGTCGATCCTGAAATCGTTGTAGTAGATTCTGGTTGGCTGCTCGATATTTCAGGTGTAGATGGTACAGATGTATGTTCTTCGGTTGCGGCAGTTGATCCTGAAATCGTTGTAGTAGATTCTGGTTGGTTGCTCGATATTTCTGGTGTAGATGGTACAGATGTATGTTCCTCGGTTGCGGCAGTCGATCCTGAAATCTTTGTAGTGGATTCTGGTTGGCTGCTCGATATTTCTGGTGTAGATGGCACAGATGTATGTTCCTCGGTGACGGCAGTCGATCCTGAAATCTTTGTAGTGGATTCTGGTTGGCTGCTCGATATTTCTGGTGTAGATGGCACAGATGTATGTTCCTCGGTGACGGCAGTCGATCCTGAAATCTTTGTAGTGGATTCTGGTTGGCTGCTCGATATTTCTGGTGTAAATGGTACAGATGTATGTTCCTCGGTTGCGGCAGTCGATCCTGAAATCTTTGTAGTGGATTCTGGTTGGCTGCTCGATATTTCTGGTGTAGATGGTACAGATGTATGTTCCTCGGTTGCGGCAGTCGGTCCTGAAATCGTTGTAGTGGATTCTGGTTGGCTGCTCGATATTTCAGGTGTAGATGGCACAGATGTATGTTCCTCGGTTGCGGCAGTCGATCCTGAAATCGTTGTAGTGGATTCTGGTTGGCTGCTCGATATTTCAGGTGTAGATGGTACAGATGTATGTTCCTCGGTTGCGGCAGTCGATCCTGAAATCGTTGTAGTGGATTCTGGCTGGCTGCTCGATATTTCAGGTGTAGATGGCACAGATGTATGTTCCTCGGTTGCGGCAGTCGATCCTGAAATCGTTGTAGTGGATTCTGGTTGGCTGCTCGATATTTCAGGTGTAGATGGTACAGATGTATGTTCCTCGGTTACGGCAGTCGATCCTGAAATCGTTGTAGTGGATTCTGGTTGGCTGCTCGATATTTCAGGTGTAGATGGTACAGATGTATGTTCCTCGGTTGCGGCAGTCGATCCTGAAATCGTTGTAGTGGATTCTGGTTGGCTGCTCGATATTTCAGGTGTAGATGGCACAGATGTATGTTCCTCGGTTGCGGCAGTCGATCCTGAAATCGTTGTAGTGGATTCTGGTTGGCTGCTCGATATTTCAGGTGTAGATGGTACAGATGTATGTTCCTCGGTTACGGCAGTCGATCCTGAAATCGTTGTAGTTGATTCTGGTTGGCTGCTCGATATTTCAGGTGTAGATGGCACAGATGTATATTCCTCGGTTGCGGCAGTCGATCCTGAAATCGTTGTAGTGGATTCTGGTTGGCTGCTCGATATTTCAGGTGTAGATGGCACAGATGTATGTTCCTCGGTTGCGGCAGTCGATCCTGAAATCGTTGTAGTGGATTCTGGTTGGCTGCTCGATATTTCAGGTGTAGATGGTACAGATGTATGTTCCTCGGTTACGGCAGTCGATCCTGAAATCGTTGTAGTTGATTCTGGTTGGCTGCTCGATATTTCAGGTGTAGATGGCACAGATGTATGTTCCTCGGTTGCGGCAGTCGATCCTGAAATCGTTGTAGTGGATTCTGGTTGGCTGCTCGATATTTCAGGTGTAGATGGCACAGATGTATGTTCCTCGGTTGCGGCAGTCGATCCTGAAATCGTTGTAGTGGATTCTGGTTGGCTGCCTGATATTTCAGGTGTAGATGGTACAGATGTATGTTCCTCGGTTACGGCAGTCGATCCTGAAATCGTTGTAGTGGATTCTGGTTGGCTGCTCGATATTTCAGGGGTGTAGATGGCACAGATGTATGTTCCTCGGTTGCGGCAGTCGATCCTGAAATCGTTGTAGTGGATTCTGGTTGGCTGCTCGATATTTCAGGTGTAGATGGCACAGATGAATGTTCCTCGGTTGCGGCAGTCGATCCTGAAATCGTTGTAGTGGATTCTGGTTGGCTGCTCGATATTTCAGGTGTAGATGGTACAGATGTATGTTCCTCGGTTGCGGCAGTCGATCCTGAAATCGTTGTAGTGGATTCTGGTTGGCTGCTCGATATTTCAGGTGTAGATGGTACAGATGTATGTTCCTCGGTTGCGGCAGTCGATCCTGAAATCGTTGTAGTGGATTCTGGTTGGCTGCTCGATATTTCAGGTGTAGATGGTACAGATGTATGTTCCTCGGTTACGGCAGTCGATCCTGAAATCGTTGTAGTTGATTCTGGTTGGCTGCTCGTTATTTCTGGTGTAGATGGTACGGATGTATGTTCCTCGGTTGCGGCAGTCGGTCTTGAAATCGTTGTAGTGGATTCTGGTTGGCTGCTCGATATTTCTGGTGTAGATGGCACAGATGTATGTTCCTCGGTTGCGGCAGTCGATCCTGAAATCGTTGTAGTAGATTCTGGTTGGCTGCTCGATATTTCTGGTGTAGATGGTACAGATGTATGTTCCTCGGTTGCGGCAGTCGATCCTGAAATCTTTGTAGTGGATTCTGGTTGGCTGCTCGATATTTCTGGTGTAGATGGTACAGATGTATGTTCCTCGGTTGCGGCAGTCGGTCCTGAAATCGTTGTAGTGGATTCTGGTTGGCTGCTCGTTATTTCAGGTGTAGATGGTACAGATGTATGTTCCTCGGTTGCGGCAGTCGATCCTGAAATCGTTGTAGTGGATTCTGGTTGGCTGCTCGATATTTCAGGTGTAGATGGTACAGATGTATGTTCCTCGGTTGCGGCAGTCGATCCTGAAATCGTTGTAGTGGATTCTGGTTGGCTGCTCGATATTTCTGGTGTAGATGGTACAGATGTATGTTCCTCGGTTGCGGCAGTCGATCCTGAAATCTTTGTAGTGGATTCTGGTTGGCTGCTCGATATTTCAGGTGTAGATGGCACAGATGTATGTTCCTCGGTTGGCAGTCGATCCTGAAATCGTTGTAGTAGATTCTGGTTGGCTGCTCGATATTTTCTGGTGTAGATGGCAAAGATGTATGTTCCTCGGTTGCGGCAGTCGATCCTGAAATCGTTCTGGTGTAGATGGCACAGGATGGATGTTCCTGGTTGGCGGCAGTCGATCCGATAGTGGATTCTGGTTGGTGCTCGAGATTTCAGGTGTAGATGGTACAGATGTATGTTCCTCGGTTGCGGCAGTCGATCCTGAAATCGTTTGTAGTGGATTCTGGTTGGCTGCTCGATATTTCTGGTGTAGATGGTACAGATGTATGTTCCTCGGTTGCGGCAGTCGGTCCTGAAATCGTTGTAGTGGATTCTGGTTGGCTGCTCGATATTTCAGGTGTAGATGGCACAGATGTATGTTCCTCGGTTGCGGCAGTCGATCCTGAAATCGTTGTAGTGGATTCTGGTTGGCTGCTCGATATTTCAGGTGTAGATGGCACAGATGTATGTTCCTCGGTTGCGGCAGTCGATCCTGAAATCGTTGTAGTGGATTCTGGTTGGCTGCTCGATATTTCTGGTGTAGATGGTACAGATGTATGTTCCTCGGGTTGCGGCAGTCAATCCTGAAATCGTTGTAGTAGATTCTGGTTGGATGCTCGATATTCCTGGTGTAGATGGTAAAGATGTATGTTCTTCGGTTGCGGCAGTTGATCCTGAAATCGTTGTAGTGGATTCTGGTTGGCTGCTCGATATTTCTGGTGTAAATGGTACAGATGTATGTTCCTCGGTTGCGGCAGTCGGTCCTGAAATCGTTGTAGTGGATTCTGGTTGGCTGCTCGATATTTCAGGTGTAGATGGCACAGATGTATGTTCCTCGGTTGCGGCAGTCGATCCTGAAATCGTTGTAGTGGATTCTGGTTGGCTGCTCGATATTTCAGGTGTAGATGGTACAGATGTATGTTCCTCGGTTACGGCAGTCGATCCTGAAATCGTTGTAGTGGATTCTGGTTGGCTGCTCGATATTTCTGGTGTAGATGGTACAGATGTATGTTCCTCGGTTGCGGCAGTCGATCCTGAAATCGTTGTAGTGGATTCTGGTTGGATGCTCGATATTTCTGGTGTAGATTGTAAAGATGTATGTTCCTTCGGTTGCGGCAGTCGATCCTGAAATCGTTGTAGTGGATTTGGCTGCTCGATATTTCTGGTGTAAATGGATACAGATGTATGTTCCTCGGTTGCGGCAGTCGATCCTGAAATCGTTGTAGTGGATTCTGGTTGGCTGCTCGATATTTCTGGTGTAGATGGTACAGATGTATGTTCCTCGGTTGCGGCAGTCGATCCTGAAATCGTTGTAGTGGATTCTGGTTGGCTGCTCGATATTTCTGGTGTAGATGGTACAGATGTATGTTCCTCGGTTGCGGCAGTCGGTCCTGAAATCGTTGTAGTGGATTCTGGTTGGCTGCTCGATATTTCAGGTGTAGATGGCACAGATGTATGTTCCTCGGTTGCGGCAGTCGATCCTGAAATCGTTGTAGGAGTGGATTCTGGTTGGCTGCTCGATATTTCAGGTGTAGATGGCACAGATGTATGTTCCTCGGTTGCGGCAGTCGATCCTGAAATCGTTGTAGTGGATTCTGGTTGGCTGCTCGATATTTCTGGTGTAAATGGTACAGATGTATGTTCCTCGGTTGCGGCAGTCAATCCTGAAATCGTTGTAGTGGATTCTGGTTGGATGCTCGATATTCCTGGTGTAGATTGTAAAGATGTATGTTCTTCGGTTGCGGCAGTTGATCCTGAAATCGTTGTAGTGGATTCTGGTTGGCTGCTCGATATTTCTGGTGTAAATGGTACAGATGTATGTTCCTCGGTTGCGGCAGTCGGTCCTGAAATCGTTGTAGTGGATTCTGGTTGGCTGCTCGATATTTCAGGTGTAGATGGCACAGATGTATGTTCCTCGGTTGCGGCAGTCGATCCTGAAATCGTTGTAGTGGATTCTGGTTGGCTGCTCGATATTTCAGGTGTAGATGGTACAGATGTATGTTCCTCGGTTACGGCAGTCGATCCTGAAATCGTTGTAGTGGATTCTGGTTGGCTGCTCGATATTTCAGGTGTAGATGGCACAAATGTTGTGTTCCTCGGTTACGGCAGTTGATCCTGAAATCTTTGTAGTTGATTCTGGTTGGCTGCTCGATATTTCAGGTGTAAATGGCACAGATGTATGTTCCTCGGTGACGGCAGTTGATCCTGAAATCTTTGTAGTTGATTCTGGTTGGCTGCTAGATATTTCTGGTGTAAATGGTACAGATGTATGTTCCTCGGTTGCGGCAGTCGGTCCTGAAATCGTTGTAGTGGATTCTGGTTGGCTGCTAGATATTTCAGGTGTAGATGGCACAGATGTATGTTCCTCGGTTGCGGCAGTCGGTCCTGAAATCTTTGTAGTTGATTCTGGTTGGCTGCTCGATATTTCAGGTGTAAATGGCACAGATGTATGTTCCTCGGTGACGGCAGTTGATCCTGAAATCTTTGTAGTGGATTCTGGTTGGCTGCTAGATATTTCTGGTGTAAATGGTACAGATGTATGTTCGTCGGTTGCGGCAGTCGATCCTGAAATCGTTGTAGTGGATTCTGGTTGGCTGCTCGATATTTCAAGTGTAGATGGTACAGATGTATGTTCCTCGGTTACGGCAGTCGATCCTGAAATCGTTGTAGTGGATTCTGGTTGGCTGCTCGATATTTCAGGTGTAAATGGTACAGATGTATGTTCCTCGGTTGCGGCAGTCAATCCTGAAATCGTTGTAGTGGATTCTGGTTGGATGCTCGATATTTCAGGTGTAGATTGTAAAGATGTATGTTCTTCGCTTGCGGCAGTTGATCCTGAAATCGTTGTAGTGGATTCTGGTTGGCTGCTCGATATTTCTGGTGTAGATGTTACAGATGTATGTTCCTCGGTTGCGGCAGTCGATCCTGAAATCGTTGTAGTGGATTCTGGTTGGCTGCTCGATATTTCTGGTGTAGATGGTAAAGATGTATGTTCTTCGGTTGCGGCAGTTGATCCTGAAATCGTTGTAGTGGATTCTGGTTGGCTGCTCGATATTTCTGGTGTAAATGGTACAGATGTATGTTCCTCGGTTACGGCAGTCGATCCTGAAATCTTTGTAGTGGATTCTGGTTGGCTGCTCGATATTTCTGGTATAGATGGTACAGATGTATGTTCCTCGGTTGCGGCAGTCGATCCTGAAATCTTTGGAGTGGATTCTGGTTGGCTGCTCGATATATCAGGTGTAGATGGCACAGATGTATGTTCCTCGGTTACGGCAGTCGATCCTGAAATCTTTGGAGTGGATTCTGGTTGGCTGCTCGATATTTCAAGTGTAGATGGCACAGATGTATGTTCTTCGGTTGCGGCAGTCGATCCTGAAATCGTTGTAGTTGATTCTGGTTGGCTGCTCGATATTTCTGGTGTAAATGGTACAGATGTATGTTCCTCTGTTGCGGCAGTCGATCCTGAAATCGTTGTAGTGGATTCTGGTTGGCTGCTCGATATTTCAGGTGTAGATGGTACAGATGTATGTTCTTCGGTTGCGGCAGTCGATCCTGAAATCGTTGTAGTTGATTCTGGTTGGCTGCTCGATATTTCTGGTGTAGATGGTACAGATGTATGTTCCTCGGTTGCGGCAGTCGATCCTGAAATCTTTGTAGTGGATTCTGGTTGGCTGCTCGATATTTCAGGTGTAGATGGTACAGATGTATGTTCCTCGGTTGCGGCAGTCGATCCTGAAATCGTTGCAGTGGAAACTGGTTGGCTGCTGGATATTTCAGATGTAGATGCTATAGAAGTCTGCTCTTCTGTTTCACCTTTTGAAGATAAAATATTTATAATCGATTATAGTTGGTGTATATAGATAATTTAACTTTTGTTTTCAATCAATTTGTTATCTGTTGTTACTGCAGCAGCTGCTTTTAAGAATTACTTGTAAAATCCTGAAGTGTTGTCGTATTAACACTATCTATAGATATTTTTATGGGCTTATCCACGTACCTTCGTTCCTATATGGTATGTATATAAATACTTTGCTTACGTCTTGTATCTGACACATTTGCAATTTACCCTTGCTCTGTTATTTTACCTTCATTTTTCGTCTACCTGTCAATAGTCTTTCATAAAGATACTCGTTTGAACACTTTATGGAATCGTGACAATGTTTAAACTCAAACTTCCGAGTCTCGACTTGTATGCTACACCTGGACAGTTTTGATCGTAAAGAAAAGAATGAAAATACTGCAGTAACACCTCTAAGTAGAAGCTTATGAATCTTTGTTTGACTAATTCATCTTTAAACGTTTATTTTCTTTAGTGACTGGTTAAAAGCGAGGGCAGAGATGAGATGCGCTTTTTTATCAACTCAAGTTATTTAATTAGCTTTACTCAATTGTGACAATCCTTTATTTCATAACTGGCTGCACTGTAGGAGAACGAACAACACAAGACTATAAATGAAGTGATGGATTCAAGAAAGATATAACTTGGGATGCCAATATTTCTTTTCAAATTTTCAGATAATTAGGGTCGATACACATCAGCCGACATGTTTGCTGGTCTTTGCGTGGACAAGTCTTCAATACTTGAGACTCTTTTTCTTCGTTTTGTTGTATCTTAATTTATTCACAACATAAAACGAAAATATTACTTTCTCCAGACTGATTTGCATATGACTGCTTCGACATTATCCAAGTAGAGAAAATTGTTTTACGTCATCTTCACTGAATTTCTTCCTCTATATTAAATGTTAGTGATCGCCTAATTTAAATAAATGACCAGTGGAGAGTATAGTCTACGCTAGACAAGAATATGGACGTTGTTTATATTGAGTTTCTATTCTTACTTTAGTCTTGGCAATTACTGTATAGGACTTTACATGGATTAAATTATTTGATTTCCTTGGGTTAGTTAATCAACGCCTTTTTAAATCAAAATGGGGCAAAATCATCTTCACCACTTGATCTATATATATATATATATATATATATATATAGTCTGTTACCTATCTAGATTATTTTTAAGTATTTTTTTATTTGATCGATACAAACCTCAACTGCTTTATCTGACCATTTAGAGTGAAACCACAAACACAAAAATTTACCAATCACTTTTGATACGTTCTTCAGTAAGTGCACATTTTTCGAATGAATTGCATTTTACTTTTCCTATAATAGTATATAAAAAAATGATTCCTTTTTTTCCTTCCCTTTCCAATTTTTAAATTAACCACCAAAATAGGTTGACTTTTTTGGTGTTGTGGAGTAGATGGTGATAATATCGAAAATCCGATCTGGTGTGACAGCTGGCATAACAGCGATAATGATATAGCCGATGTTTTATAAATTAAATTAAAAATAAATACTTCTAATTCGAACAAACTATTTGAATTTTTTGTTAGAAATACAAATCAAATTCAGGAGATACTGAATTTAATTGAAATATAACAAAATAATGAAAAGGATAAAACAGATTTTGCAATATTTACCGTGAGTGGTCGTTATCATAGAAGTTGGCATCTGAAACGGTAGGAAATAATTTGTTATTCTATGCGTTTTTATAATCTCACTAGATGCGTTAGAAGATAGGTAACGCTATGTCCCTTCAAATATCTCGTATTTTGCTCAATACTTCTGATGCTACCTTCTCTGCCGTAGTCTTCCCATTCTCGCCCTACCTTGAATCTCCAGTTTCTTAGGAGACTGTCTTTTAGCTTAGTTATGTGCCATGCGTGATACACGCTTAGGCTATCATGTATCTTTCGATACCCGACTGACGAGGCAGATTTTTCCCGCAGTAGGTTGCCATTACTTTCTACTGTAGAAACCGGTCTGTCCTGCTATTTACCCATAGCTGGGGGGAGAACAGGATTCATACCAAGGTTATTAGCACGTAAGTGAATGTAATGGATTTGACTGGAATTCAAACTCGGCTCTCCGATTCCTCAATCCGAGCCGCTATCCATTACTCCAGCGTGCCTCCTCCACCTTTTAGCTTAACTAGGTGCTAAAACAAAGCTAACGTAGCCGAAATGATTAAGAAGACAGTCTTTCGGGATGTGAGAAACAAGTTCTTCTCATTATTTCTAGTTATTTGATGTTAACTCAAGCGTTCCAAGTCTGTAATCGATAATGAGTTTTATGATCAAAACCAAGATAATAATTTTAATTATAATAAAATAGGTGGATCACTTTGGTTTTCGCAGATTTTACAAAACATGAATGTCTTGATTGTTGGGATAATTGGATGTGTTGATCGTTATTAGTATTGAAAAGTGGGGAACAAATCTGTCTTGCTGTGAAGTTTGGATAAAAATGGGGGAAACAAGTTTTTAATTTAACAAATATTTATTTGACCGGTGAATAAACGGGCATCTAATAGGTTAAATAAGAAAGAATACGTAAAATATATGTATGTTCTGTCTATTAAACGACGTGGTGCTCTCCAAGTTACTCTTACGTTGTTTGCCGGTGTATAAAAAAAAAAAGGAAAAAACCTTTCGCCCATTGTTAATTGTGGTCATGAAAGATAAAACTTATTCACTTTTCTGAGGAAAATTCTTCCTGACAATGGGGGAGTAATCCCACGATTATTTCCGGTTCTATGTGTGTGGTGACTAGGACAGAACCGTCAGGCAACTATTTTCCTGGTTTATTCTGAGCTCAGCATCGTAAATTCGATGTGCTCATAAACCGGGTTAAGGGTACCGTCACCATTTCGCAGTCAGTTTTGAGAAGGTCCTTAGGAACCCTGCACAGTCGCACAGTTTTCAATAATGTGTATTTTTTTATAATCATTTGAAAATAGACATCCAAAGATTATTTGCTCTAAAATGATGTAATTTTTCCATTAGTTTTATTTTAAAAAAATGTTAAAATTGTCACTTTTTCTTAACTAGATTAGATAAAAGGTTTAACAAGGATATTAAACAAAAGCATTTTAAGTGCAACATTTAAATTTAAATTATATGTAAAAATTTTGATATTTCTTATTTAGTAATGTTTAGTCATATACAAAATTGAAATGTTTTACGGTAGGATATCATTGCTTTGCCGCTGGGCATGTTGCCCCCTGCTGATGATCACATGCGGCGAGATTATGAATTACCGCTCCCTGACGATAATTACAGGCGGCGCGAGATTTGAAAGAAACCATCTTGGTGACTTTTCATAGCGAAAAGACGTATTCTTTTTGCTCCCGCAAAAATGTAAGTACCTCAACTACAATCACTGAAATTTGTTTTGAACTCTTCACATTCCATTGCATTTCGCATTTTTCCTTTCGCAAAATGTCCTATCACTACATTTGTTAATATTCCTTGTTTTAAATTCTATGTCTTATTTTTCCTTTGGACTCACACGTCCACCAAAAATTGTTTTGGGGTCAAATGTAGCAGGAGCATAGAAATCTCATTAAAAGTGTTGAAGCCTGCAACAGGCATTTGATTTTAAAATTATGAAACAATTTCGCTGAACAAATTTTACTTATATTACTAATCTGACACGAAATAAACAAAATAAATCCTTATTCAATAGTATCAAATTCTATCTTACTGTATGTTGTTTCGAAAAAAATTAAAAGGATTGAAACATAAAAACCACATAATAAAATAGAATATTTATTTATACAATAAAGTCGACATAATATATTCATATCTTTCAAATCATATACAATGCATCTACGTTTGACTTAAAATTTCGACAATTGTTAAAATATGAATGATAACAATTTTTGTTTAAAGTGCAGCTGGAACGATCATTAATAATAAACATCAAAAGAATTTTTTTTTATCTCCAAGTGGAAATCGATATTGGATTTACTAAGCGAAGCTTCGATGTGGCACAATTCCGAAAATATGGAGCACCTTGTGAAGAATAAGCTCACTATTCAGTAGTAATTGGTATGGTGAGACAAGTTTGCTAACCATTACACCACGTTGAAGTGCTCGGACGTAAATAGTATCCCTTCCAGAGAAATGTATGAGCATTTATGTAGTCTTTATGTTATGATATCCGGTAAGGGAGGCCACTCGTAACTGGTTGCTTAAGATGTAATTATCGACAGTGATTTTGGCCTCCATAATATTTGGGCCTGTGTGTGCGTCTACACGCGGTTGTGTGTATGTACATGCATATGTGTGCGCGTACAAGCATGTGTGACATGTGTATACGCAGATACATGTTTGCGTGCATTAGTATGTTTGTATCTTAAAGGAAAATAGAAAAAAAACTGAGATTGAAAAAGATCGGAAAGCCTTTACCGTTAATGTTGAAGCGATACACTGTTTATAGGCTTCTGTTGAGCAATTTTGAGTTGATTTGTCATACGCTTGATTCGGGGGACAGTTTCGATTCGGCAAGAATTTCCCCATGTAACAAAGATGTGTCTTTGTGCAATCATCTTCTGACTCCAGGAGATATATTTTATTCTGGGCGCAACCTTCAAACAAACAAAAAAACAATTTCATTGCTAACGTTCTAGTATGCAGTTGCAGCAATCGTAACAGATTTAAATTTATACTCACCTTATCGAATGCAATAAAAACAGATATTAAACCAAAAGAAAAGAATAAGAAAACACTTTATAGTTATCGTAGAGAGATAAATCAAAAAATTAAAAAGTTTTGAAAAATCTTTCATTCCTCTTTCGTCAAAGATTGAGGATTAAAAAACATGCAGATTGAATAAAATCAAAAACTCCAAAGACAGGATGCATATTAAATATCTAATCATCAGAATATTATTACATTCAAGTCCAGAAACCACTCTTCCTGCTTATAAGAATGAAGGAAGTTTAGAAAGACTTATATTTCTGAGATGCGGTATTGTAATTATTTTCATTGTTTGGAATGTTGTCCTCATCTTTATTGCTATATTCATGACGTTTCGGCCGTTGTACGCTCCGACCTTCTTCAGGTGACTGGAATTTCCAACTGAACCCTTATGCCCAACAGAGTAGATTCTTCTAGTTCCCCGTACCATGCCTCTTCCGGGTGTCTCAGTTATCTACCTTTTAACTCAACTCGCCAAGTTTCTGTTCACTCACATCACTTTGGGTCAAGTTACCAATGCGTTTATCCACTGGGCCATGTGTCCTTGAGGACATTAGTGTATGAATTTTGGGACTTATAAACTTAATTGCTCAGATATATTTTTTACCAGAGCACATATTGCAATTTTGTTGTTATTATTGTTTTTCTCTGGTACTCCGCATTACTGGTTCCCATATTGTATTCATTTCTATGCTTTTTCGGCTTAGGAAATTTTTATGGTGATGAGTTACTTCCTTAAGTTTTCATATTTTCCAGTGATATCCTCTGTCTATGATTTCAATTTCATCCCATAGGAGGTGGTGATCTCCCTTTTCCTTCCATATGTGGTCAGCTACACCTGATTTTTCTATTTCACCTCGTGTTACGGATTTACGATGTTCTTGCAGCCTTAAGGGGGCAGCCTGTTTCTCCTGTGCATTTCTTACCACAACTGCACAGGATGACGTACACGCAGTCCTTAGTCATGTTCTCCTGATGTTATATGGACCACAGATCTTTTGTATTTTCTCCGATAATCCCTTCACATAAGGTAGGGTAGTCAGACTGAAGCTGTTTTCTGAGTGTTGCTATCATCTTGTACCCTTCTAACCCAGTGTGTCGGGGCCATGTACCCAGGGTAGTTGTTATGTTGTAGGTACTGCGTATACTGACCATTTCTTGTTTCCGGGTCGCCGCTTATGATTTTTGCTTGATGTTGGAAGCAGTGGACGGTCCCTTTCTTTTCACTGTATGGATGGTGGGAGTTGAAGTTAAGGTATTATCCGGTGAATGTTGGCTTGCGGTATACAGATGTGGTGAACCCATGCTCTGTTCCGGATATTAGTACAACCAGGGATATGAGTTTGTTGTCGTTTTCTCTCTACATTGTGAACCGTATCGATTTTGTGATGTCAACGAACACTCGTTGCCACTTTTGTAATGTCAACATTTATTCATTGTCAATTTCGTAATGCTCGTTATATTAGAGACTTTGCAATCGCAGATACAACTATAGTAACGCCGTTGAACAATACTGGTGTCAGAAGCCTTCGAAGAATACTCGCTCGAATATTAGATAGTGATTCGAACAGAGAAATAGTATAGTGAATAGAGTAGAGAATAGCGGTCAGTATAGTAATAGAGGATAGAATACAAGCGCAGAATTGTTTAGACGTCACGCTACTTTCTACTTTTACTTTTCATCTATGGTCACGTGGTCTACTTAATTCAATAATGGGATCGACTGTGTTTGCTCACTGGGGATCTATGTTCAAACTTAAGCGTCAGCAGCGATACTTTATTCAATCTATGATCTTATTGACTTCACATGGTCCATTAGTAGCTAGACATCTTCCTGGTGTGGCTGGAGCATGAAAGTGTCATCTATGTATCTCAGCCATAGGCTTGACTTTAGTGATGTCGATTCTAATGTCATTTCTTCGAAGTATTATATGTATATGCTTGCCATTGCTGGTG